GGGCTCAAAGTGTTTGTTTTCTGTGTAATTGTGTCATTCTTGTGTGTTGGGCACTCTCAACAAGAAGAGTTTTTCCCCTCTTGTCTTGATTGTGTACATTGTTTTTGTTGAATTTGAACTACCATAAAAAAGAAACGTTTTTTCTTGGCTTAATAACAACTTTAAAATATTTTACGTGTATGCAGTATTGTATAAATATATAGTCACAAGATATACTTACATCCTTCTCTTTTCTGGGTCATTATTATGATAACAACGCTGGTTAATTTATTTCTGTAAGAATTTTTAATTTGTGAATCTTATTGTTGAAAATGATGCGTTTATATGTCACGTTTCGATTTGAATGTACCGCCATGACCCTCCACATTCATCTGACAGTGAAAGGAGTAGGGGCTAGGAAAGGGCTATTTTTTCAGTCAAAAAAACAATTCCCTTTCTGTCCTCAACGGGTTAAGAGCTGTTTATTTGTAATTAAGAAAATCTGGCGAGCACACAATTCAAGTGAGTCAATTTTATATTTTGACGTCAAAAAAACTAAAACTAAAAATTGTATTTTAATTTAAAAAAGGGTTGTCACAAAAAATATATTTTTATAAAGAAAATTAAAAGAGATAGCATTTGATTTTAAAAGTTATGTTAAAATATTAATTGTATTTTCTAATTGGTGGTCAAAAATTAACAATAATAACAATAATAATAATTTCTTTTACTTTTACTTTTCTTTTTTACTACTTATAAAATGAGAATTAACGTCGATTGTAAAATTAATGTTTGTAGATTCTGAAATAGGTTTTATTATAGAATAAAAAATTCTTTAAATTAAAAATAATAATTAATAAAAGAAATTGTAATATTTTTTTAAAATAAATTGTAATAAAAGATTTAAATTGAATTAATATTTTGGTCTCGTATTTATTTTGGTTTGAATTGAATATTGGAATTTTGTATATCAAAAAAAGGAGCCTGATCATTAAATTAAATTAATGTAGTCAGGTCCGATCATAAGAAAACCTCTGGGACCTTGCTTTCGGTTCTCCGAATTCAGGGTTGGGCCCAAAACAGAAGAGACACACTTACATATATGTTTTTAATCTGTACAAATAATTATTTTATTTTTATTACCGGCTTTGAGTTTCCTCGTTTCACGGGGCGAACAATGCTAAACCCGCACAACAGATTTGTCGTGAAGGTGGGATATAACCGGTTCCCCCAACATTCATGATGCATAACCGAAACGATCTTGTAATTTTTCTTTTAATAATTTAAATTTTATCTAAAAAAAATCTTTTATTATCTGAGAATTATTTTGATATAATGAATCAATAATAGCAACTAATTAATTAAGACAGTTTAGTTGAGTTATCCAGTATTATTACTCTTAGCTGTCGGTGAAAACAGTAAAACAATTTTGTGTGATATTATTTGTCGCATTTGAACCACCATAAAAAAGAAACGTATTTTTCTTGGTTTAATAACAACTTTAAAATACTTTATATTATGCATTATTGTATAAATATGTATGTAGCATAACTTACATCCGGCACTTTTCTATGTCATTGTCAATATAATCACGGACAGAATAAGTCGATGAAAATATGAAACAGCAAGAACACAAGGACCCAATGATGAGAATTCAATGAAACTATTTGAAAGTAATTAGTGAGGGAAAGCAAACTAGTTCAGTACATCTGAATACTGTAATGTGTGTAAAGGTTTTTATGCAATGTTGATGTCTATGCCACCATTACCTATCATAGCGTTAATCATTCACACCCAAATTAAAACTACGCATTCAGGCATTTACTTATCATAAAACAAACCGGGCTTTATAAAAGTGCTATCATATTTTAAAACCATTTTTCCTCTTTTCTGCCGATTTGTCTACAACACTTTGATTGTCCTGACATAACGCGGGACGTCAAATTTTCCATTAAAAACTAGTATCTTCTGTGAAATTACAACATTCTGTTTGTTAATCAACTCGGTTTTTCTTTTATATCCAGTTTAACAATGGCCAATTCAATACGAAAGTTTTCAAATTTGGTTTACTTAGTGTGAATTGGAGGGGCTGGACTTTCCGTGGATTCAATCGTTGAGTTTATTTGAACTGCAATCTTTTTGATTGAGAATCTTTCGTGTTCGTTTTCTCCCACATTAAAAAAACTAATCTACCACTCGCTTTATTCCGTACTAACCAGTATAATTGAACAGCCTTCGTTTTCATTAAACAATTAGACTTTAGGCAATACAAGGGTAGAATCAATATTAGCAAAAGAGGGAGTTTGCTGTTTAAAATTCGTGTTCATTCAAACCATTTTAAAAAAATTATGTAACGATGGTTTTTTTGATGTTCAGAATAACAAAACCCTGGAGGGTTTTAGACAATTCTATTGACACAATCGAAGACTTAAGAATCCTTATTAATTATTATCAATGGCCTAAAGCAAATCTTTTTTTAAGGAAAACAAGACATTGGGCTTTAAATCAACTTCCTACTATTCACTAGAGTACTCATGATTTTCTACCGTAAACATCAACTATGAGAAGAAGCCTATGAACAGACACAAGAAGCCATTGATAACATCCTTAAACAATCTGTGTATTTAATTTCTTACTGAAACCTTCTGTTGGCTTTTTGGATGCCAGGTTGCAATTGTCTTAAATTGTCAAATTCCTTCATCTCATTTTCAAAAGTGACTTTCTTTATTTTTCTGTTTTTTTTTCTTTCTTTTTTTAAGAAAAATTTACAACTTTTATGAGAACTACTTTAAACTTGGAGCCTGGTGTAGTGTTGCAAAAAGGGGTTAAGTGTCAGCTAATGTTAGAAAGTATGAGAGTCAACTTAAATGTACCAGTTTAAAGCAATTTAACGGAGAATGGGGCATTAAAAGACCCTGAGTGGTATAATTACTTTGCAGATATTACTAACGCAAAACAACCTCATCAAGTTTGCAAAAATTTACTCAATTTGAGTCTTTAAGGGGGTAAAAAGTAACCTTGAAGGAGGTAAAATATAGGCCTAAAACTATTTTGTGTTTTAAACGAATTTCAATGTTTGTTACAAGGCCTACAAATTTTAGAAAATCCATTCTAATTTCTCAATGAAAAATTGATGTGTTTTTATTTTTTGGAATTAAATTTGCTGAAATAAGTTGAGAATTAAAAAGACATCAAAAGGGCTTGAATTGTTCTCAGATGTTACCATCTAGCGAATCAAGCATAGATTACATAGTAGAAATTGAATTTAAATTGAAATATAAAATGGGACTAAAGTCCCCTTGAATAATTAATTATGAATATATGTATATAAAAAGAAAATACTACGTAAATTTAACTAAAGGCGGAATTAAAAATTGTTGGTGCCAAATCATAAAGACAAAAGGCAATCAAAGAGACATGACAACATGGAAAGAGGTGGAGCTCGATGAATAGAGTAAGGAAGGAAATTCCATAAGTTGGTAACGGATTAGAAAGGTACAACTGTAGTTCTGGGTACAAGTGTAAGATGAGGATATCATATATGGAAGGATTGGAATGGGAAGATATCATCTGATAGAGGAAAAGCCAAGGAAGTATTGCTTGTGATAGAAACTACTACAACTTGTAGGGCAGACCAGTCACGTGGGACACCTCCTTGGGGAGACAAAAACATACAAAACAATTCATTACATGTTTAAGCTTAAAATCAAGCTCCAATACACCAGACATCTGTAAACAAAGTGGGGGAGAATAACAGAGGAAACTACGAGTTTACACGTGCTAAAAGGGATACGGCTGTCATGACAGGATGGAGAATGGAGAAGCAGTGTCAGGAATCTGCCAGATATGGGGCTTCCAAGACAAAGTCGATTCCAAGATTCTGGACAGTGAGCCTGAAGATAATTGAAAATGCGTGGAGGTAAAAAAACGGGGTTTATGTTAATTGAAAATGGAGGGATGGAAGGTAAGAAATGGAAGAGATAACTGAATCTAAACAAAATAACCTGGGACTTTTCTACATTCAAGTTAAGCCCAGGAGATTAAGTCCTCCTGAATTAATTACAGGGGAATGTGGGTGATGGCTGATGGAAGCGTATTTTTTTGATTTTTGGAAATCATTAATGTACTAGTAAAAAAAAGGGAAGCAGAGTTGCATGGGCCTTGAGAAACTCCGGAAGTTGGACAAAAGGGGATAGGATGAGGGCTTATTTGGGATAAACAGTATTTAGAAATGGTTCAAAAGGAAAGAGTGAAAGTGAGAGACAACAATGTGGATGGAAAATAAGGTTGAAGAATGGGTAAGTCGAAGGGAATGATCTACAGTATGAAAGGCTTTACAACTACATACAAACTACATGTTCACCACCTCACAAAAAGCAATCACAAAAATTTTGTGCCAATTTTGTAATAAAAAATCAAGGATAAAGCCAAATGAAAGAAAAAAATCCACTCGCTTCCTTCATCAAACATCGAGGATTTTTTAACAAATATAAACATCTACTTAGTACTGAACTATTACAGCGGTACTTTTGTTTCAAACATATTGAATTCTCGAGTTTAAAGTGGTACAAGATCTACAACCAGTTAATTCTCAAGCCCCCCAGCAACCCATCGAGAATGGACAAGTTGTAGATCATTGTACTGCTATACACTACCAAATTATAATATTAAAGAGTGATATAAATTATACTGAGATAATGCTACAATATTGAATGTTTCGGCAGCCAAGAGGTTAGAGTGATAGATTCTCGGCTTGTATACCCACAGTCATGGATTTGATTTCCACCATGACCCCTGGCTTTTTTTGTTCTTTTTTTCACATTCCCCCAAGAATATAATATGTAACAACTAATAGTTAATATTGAAAGATAAGGCAATTAAAATTTACAAAAAATAATCTGAATGTTAACTAATAATATATTACGACAGTAGTATAAGTTTTATCTTGGATGAATCCCCGTAAAAAACAATAAATTAAATTGCAACCAAAAAAATAGATATAGAAATATAAAATTTATTACCACTTTATCCACTATTTTATGTGAAGCTTGCGGTATCGAATCAACCACCTTTCCTCCATATCTAGAGTCAATTAAGAAAAACATTCCTTTTCAAGCTATTAGAAACACTTTCCAGTATCATCCACCTAATTATTTGCTTTAATTAAAAGCAGTGAAGTTTCCAATGACGGAGGCTAAACTTTCTTCAATTAGCAATCAATCGACACTTCTTAGCAACTTTGTAAACTCATTTTCTCTTTGTCTACTGTCAAGAAATACAGGCTCCAATCTGAACAGATTCTTTTTTTTTTATATAATTGTTCTATCTTTGCAAAGGACATTAAAATTAAACAATGTTCATGTTGTATAATCAATGCTAATGAAATGAAGCAATAATCTTATCTATTGTTAATTTGGTTATCAATCACTAACACAAAAGGATACGCAATGAAGTATCTTTGAATAGTTTTTGCTCGTTTTTCTGGTAGTCCAGCAGGTAAACAAATCTTCATTCCAACAAAAACATCTGGTAATGGCTGAAATAATAATTATGGCATAAAATTTTAGGAAAGTGACCTATAATTACAAAAACAAATTTAATGTATACTGCAAGGCAAATGTTTTAAAATAATATTTTAATTGGCTGAAGAGGGTGAAAAGAAGAAAAGCTGAGGAATACAGTAGTCAAGTAGTTTGCATGTTGGCTCTTGACTCGTAGAGCCCACGGTCGTGGGTTCAATTCCTACCGTTTCCCCTGGAATTTTCTTCCTCGCCCTTCCCCTAGAAAATATATGGTGCAACGAATGTACTATGCTTTGACTAATATGTGACTCACAAAGCGATTAAATAAATTTTAAAAAACGTAAAGCCCCCAAAATATACCTAATAAAAAGATTTACAAATGACTGGTAGTATTTGTTCCCACAAAAACATCAAACTAATATTGAAATTAATTAATTTAAATTAATAAAACAATATATTGTACACAAAATAATATTTGTTGCATCAAGTGTTGTTACTAAGTCGTACAGGAGAATGAGGTATTGCTGGTCACTTTTTCTTCTTTTCTTCCTTTTTTTACAATATGTTTTACCTTTTTTCAAAAACATCTGTTGTACTGCATTAAGGAGTAAATCCTTATTGTCCATCACATTGGTGTGATATATTCTATTAAAAGGATCGGGAGTTCCACCTGGATCCTTTCAGATCCATTTAAACAAGTTTATAAACTGTAGGTCAGTTTTAAATAATTAAATTCACAAGTTTTTGTGGTCCGCTTGACCAATTAATATCTTTCAATTAATTAAGGTTTTTAGTTGGGATAAAAAAGTCAGTGTCACGAGTGGGATTTGAACCCACGATCTTCAGCTAGACACACCACTGCTCTACCACTTGAGCTATCGTGGCCTAAATCCAGTGTGATATTAGCCAAACGATAGTCGAAGATCGTGATTAGTTGTTCCAGTATTTTTCCTGGTACAGATAAAGGTATTTTGCCAAGTAGAGAGCGGAGCAAATGTCATTTTTTTCCAAAATTCTGTTTTGTCAAATTATCCTCTTACCCCAGCAAAATAAATTACCACATTTAAAAAAGAAAAAAAAGTGTATGCTTTAGCCAGTCCGAGTCAGAGATCACTTACATTTTTAATTTTATATTTTGCTTTTTTTGTCGCTGGCGCTTGACCTTCATCCTCAGTTTTATCAGCAGATCTCTAAAATTCGACAATTTATAATTAATTTTCATACAAATTAATGAACTCAAAATATAGAGTACAAGATTAAACTTTACCTTTTGAGCAGGACTATGTTCACCAAATGTTATGTCTGTATGTTGTTTGGAAATTGTGAACAAATCCTGCCATTTATTTAAAAAAATTGTTAATAATTGTGTACACAATTGTTTCATCATATTTACATTAAGGTGTTCCAATGTTGTAGCAGTTTCCCAATTTTTATCTTCCCTAATTCGCACTATTCTGGGAAATCTTATGGAAATACCATCTGCAGTATGTACATCGTGTTTGGTAAATTCAGCACCTCTTATTTCCCATACGGGCTGTTTCTGTAATTACAATCACGAATTTTAGAATGTCGAGTCTTGAACTATGAATATCTGACCTACTTTCGGATCTCTAGCTACAAAATCTGGAATCATAGTTTTTGTACAATCCAGCCAAGAAGGCACTTTCCTACTTTCTTTGCCTATCTTTACCATATCTAGTTCATTCTGAAATAAACAGTTTAATCACTCTTTTATCTTATTTCAATACTAAATTTAAAAATACCTGTAGCTTATCCAAAGTTTTGTCATCGAGTCCTGTATGTACTTTTGTAACGGTACACCAAATATCCCGTTTTTCATCAAAGCATCCCATTAAAAAGACTGACATTTTGCCTCCTTAAAAATATTATCAATGATGAACACTGTTTAAAATGTGAATGTGAATAAATGTATACCTTTCTTTCCAGTTCCATACCAAGCTCCAAGAACAACCAAGTCAGCAGAATCAGCTAAAGCGCCATCAGAGAGATAATCCTTTTTCATTTTCAACCAATGTCTTTTCCCAGGCTCATAAATACTCTGGTTCAATTAGGATGATCATACAAATTAATACATTTTATCTATATAATTTTCAAACTACATCATATATATATATATGTGTGTTTTTGTTTTTTATGAGGGTAGTTCAACTACGAGGTTTTATGAACCCTCAGGGTGCTGGTGTTTTTTGAAAAAACCAATTTGGAAGTATTGCAAATGCTGGGTTGCTGGATTCAAACCGCTTATTTTTGCAAGGGAAAAGACAACTTTTGATGCTAATGAAAATGTTTGCACCTACAAAATAAATATCCAGTTTTGGATTGAATCTGTTGAGAAGGAAGGGAGTGTTTCCATGTGTTAAATTTTTTAAAAGAAAACCAACTGGAGCTTGCCTAAATGTCGGGTTGTAAGTCCTGCGGCTCTGGATTAACCTGGGCCCTTTACCTAATAGTCATGAGTCGGTGTGTCAATATATGTTAACCATTGAGGCCACCGATGGCCTGTAGAAGGTCTTTACATCACAGAACACAATACCATATTTGGCAGGTTCAAATTTTTACCATTTTTCAATGTCGGCGGGAATCGAATCCTGTTTACACAATTGAAAAATGGTAAAAAGGAAGGAAAATTTGAAAGGATGTAGGTTGAGATGGGGCGTTGGTGTCCGAGTGGATTGAAGTCACAATAGCTCAAGTGGTTAGAGCAGCGGCGTATGGAGCCAAAGATCGTGGGTTCGAATCCCGCTCGTGGCACGAAATTTTTCATTTCGACCAAAACCTTACGTAAAAAAATTAATTAATTGAAAGAAATAATTTGGTCAATAGACCACCAATAAATCATGGATTTAATAAGTAAAATAAAGTATAACTTCACTAACAGCTCCCTGTGGCCATTTCATAAGTCGCTGTGAATAGAATCCTGTTTACACGACATTTGAAAAATGGTAAAAAGGAAGGAAAATTCGAAAGGTTGTAGGTTGGGATGGGGCGTTGGTGTCCGAGTGGATTGAAGTCACAATAGCTCAAGTGGTTGGAGCAGCGGCGTATTGAGCCAAAGATCGTGGGTTCGAATCCTGCTCATGGCACTAACTTTTTCATTTCGACCAAAACCTTATGTAAAAAGATTAATTAATTGAAAGAAATAATTTGGTCAATAGACAGCCAAATATAATGGATTTAATAAGTAAAATAAAGTATAACTTCACTAGCAGCTCCCTGTGGCCATTTCATAAGTCGCTGTGAATAGAATCCTGTTTACACGACATTTAAAAAATGGTAAAAAGGAAGGAAAATTTAAAAGGTTATAGGTTGAGATGGGGTATTGGTGTCCGAGTGGATCGAAGTCATGATAGCTCAAGTGGTAGAACAGCGGCATATTGAGCCGAAGGTCGTGGGTATGAATCCAGCTCGTGGCACTAACTTTTTCATTTCGAACAAAACCTTACATAAAAAGATTAATTAAGTGAAAAAAAAATTTCATTATGTTTACCTCCATGTCTTTCAGAACTAATCCTTCAAGACCTTGTTTAATGACCGATGCCATCATAACCTCCAAAGCTTTTACATCCTGTAAATTTATACAAATGTATGTTGTTTTTTTTTTTTTTGTTTTTTTTTAATCTTGAATAATAATACAATTTAAAAACACTGAAACAATATAATTACATGTATCCTTTCAGCTTCTGAAAAAAGGATCTTGAACGGTATTTCTGTCATATTGTCATGAAGAATCTTTTTCCTCTCACACAATGGGCTGGAATTACAAATAAATTTAAAAAATTGAAACCAAGATATATTCTTACAAAACAGAATATTACAATTATATAATATTCTGTTAATGTTCACATTCAAAGTAAAACTAAATTAACTTACACTTTTAAAAGAGATTTTCCATTAAAATAAATGCAATCAAAGACAAACAGACACACATTTGCATCTCTATAAGCATTTCTCTAAAAACCAAAACTAAATTTAAATTCACCATTCAGAAAATATAATCAAATTAAACTATACTTTATGAACACCAAGGGATCCGAAAGGAAGTGGCTTTCCGGTATTGGTGTCAATCATTAAAATTTCACTGTCCAGAATTAAATCAACAGCTGTAGGGAATGCCTGGGTTATACATTGTTCAAATGTATCAATCTAAAAATGTTATAAAAACCAATTGTAAATTATTGTGTTTTTTTCCAAGAAAGCCTGTTTGATTTTTGTTTATTGCCTTATGGCGGAGGATAGGTTTGAGACTGCGAGAATAATACTTGAATATATTCCCCTTTTTATGAACCTGAACTCTTTCCCCATCATATTTGATCTCTGAGAATATTCCGTTGCTGCATTTCTTCAAAGCCTCCTCTGCCGATTTGCAAGCTTGTGCCTTTAAAGTTTAAAATAAAAAGGTTCTATAATTGTTTTTATATATTCAATTTTATTGAAATATCATTCATTAGTCTATTCACAATTACAAGATGAAAAAGTGCAAGATTGTTTGGCACATACAACAAAAACTTATACTTACGAGCATGGGAAGTACAGGAGTTAGGATATTAATATCTACATTCATTGATTGCCCTTTTTTATCTTTTTTATCAGAAAAATCAACTGTTTTTATAATTGAGTTAATGTCTCTTGAAGCTTGAAAGGCCTGATAAGCGTTTTCATCAACTGCATCTAATCTAAACAAAAGAAATTTTGCAACAAAATTAATCAACAATTTTCCTTCATTCAATAATATCATATCAATGAAATTATTATTTGACTGGGGTGTTAAATTTAAAATTTGATTAGGGGATGAAGGCAATGAACAGGACAAAAATAGCAAAACCAATCCTTATACTTTTTGGACCTTAACCACAATTTTTTTTCTTTATATTCTGTTCAAGCGCTGAACCCCCCCCCCTCCTGTCATTCCATGCTTTATTATAGCAAAAGTTCAGTGTTTTTTATTCAGAGATTATTTTCCCTGTCTTCACCTACCGCTAACTATTTGAAACCTCTTGTCATCTTTTTGTTCATACCCTTAAGCTTCACTTTGATTTGATTTTAAGATCTCTTCGTTCTACTGTTACATAGATCTCTAGAGATATGGATATAGGAATTATCGAGAGTAAGTTATCATGATTCTCTCATTGATAGAATATTTTTAAGAATTATGATTTTGTCATTAAATTACCATTACCCATTTAATTACCACCATAAAGAAATGGGAACAGAAACTTGCAGGGTGCCATAAAGCAGAAGAGACATTGGACCATGTCTTATGTGACTGCAAAGCATTAGCACTGAAACAGTACAGCCTCTTTGCAAAGGTGACACCTAATAAACAAAGAAGAATCCAAGAAAGTGATCAATTAATTAATCTTTTTACATAAGGTTTTGGTCGAAATGAAAAAGTTAGTGCCACGAATAGGATTCGAACCCACGACCATCGGCCCAATACGCTGCAGTTCTAACCACTTGAGCTATCATGACTTTGATCCACTCGGACACCAACGCCCCATCTCAACCTACAACCTTTCGAATTTTCCTTCCTTTTTACCATTTTTCAATTGTTGTTTAAACAGGGTTCAATTCACAACGACTTATGAAATGGCCACGGGGAGCTGTTAATGAAGTTATACTTTATTTTACTTATTGAATCCATTATATTTGGTGATCTATTGACCAAATTATTTCTTTCAATTAATTAATCTTTTTACATAAGGTTTTGGTCGAAATGAAAAAGTTAGTGCCACGAGCAGGATTCGAACCCATGATCTTTGGCTCAATACGCCGCTGCTCCAACCACTTGAGCTATTGTGACTTTAATCCATTCGGACACCAACGCCCCATCTCAACCTATACCCTTTTAAATTTTCCTTCTTTTTCTGTATAATAAAGGAAGGTCAATTCAATAACAGAACTTTAGGGATCTTTAGGTGGAAGTAGAAGAATAGGAGACTCTCATCACGAGTGACCCTCGAGAGCAAAAAATTGTATTGAACTTTTTTTCAGATTTAAGGTTAAAAGGAGTTGACCTTTTTACAACATTTGAACCTAGCCCAACATTGGTCTATTGTGCAATCTACATTATTGTCTAGAGTTCTTCATTAAGTTTAAGTCTTTTTTGTTGACCCCAGATCTTTGTTGAGGTGTGTATTTTCCTTGTGTTGGCTTCTCCTTCCTATTTTCTTAATCCAGAAGTAAGTTTCTCAGCTTTCTTAGGCCTTCTGCTCTTTCTTCATCTTCTTCCTGGCAATACCAGGTCCTTCGAGTCTATATATATATATATGTGCCTCCAGATTGTGCAGTATCCAGTCAGCCGTAACTTCACTATTAAACTTATCATTCTAGTCTTAACACATTGTAGGTTTAGTAGTTTTGTTGTTATTTCCTGTGATAGTCCTTTGATGAACTTTTTCTGTCTCTGTCCTGGAATACAATCCTATTGAACTGAAGACTTAATATTAACCAATTGTCTAATAGATCTAAATTTTTGGTATTTATTGAAAATAACAATACAAAGTAAATTAATGACAAGAAAACGACAACAGAAGTCACCAAACAAAATGAGACTGAATTTTTTTTACAAACATAACCTATGGTACAACCTCAAATCTTGTAATCACACAAAAGTAAAGTCGGAATAAAAAAAAAAAATTAGCAGATAAGAAGACAAACAAAGATCAGATACAAATATTTTATCCAACGAGGATAGGCAGATCAAGGAAAATCATTTCTTATCTCAACAAAGTAATTAACATTCAATTAATGAAGGTTTTAAGTTGAGCTAAAGAAGTCAGTGTCACGAGCAGGATTCGAACCCACGACCTTCGGCTTGATACGCCGCTACTCTACCACTTGAGCTATCGTGACTTCGATCCCCTCGGGCACTAACTTCCCATCTCAACCCCACCTTTTGAATTTTCCCTCCTTTTTGCCATTTTTCAAATGTCGTGAATCGGATTGGATTCTCGGTGACAAATGAAATGGCCATGGAGAGCTTTAATTTGAAAAATTGTAAAATTAAATAGTCCACACTATTCACCTCTTATGTATATGTTTGTGTCTAGTTCTTGTGTGTGAGAAAGAGATAAAGAGAAAGAGATAGAGAAAGAGAGAGAGAGAGTGAGAGAGAGAGAGAGAGAGAAGAGAAGGTGTGTATTAACTAGTACTTTCAAAAGCGATTTAATAGCTTACATGTGTTTTGCTCCAGCATTTATTCTCAGGTCATGCTTAACCAGCCGAACGATCATTTTCAAATCATTAGAAGTACACCTGGAAACAATTTTCTATATTAATTAATTCCACAACAATTCGTTGATGTTTGACAAATTTACTTTGAGGATATCGAAGAAAAATGGTCTATCTGGTCTTGTTCTTTTGTTAGTTTGGTAAGCTGTTCCAAGAATTCGTCGACATCATAATTTGTCAAAAAACTCGTTTTCACCGGTTTTACCCTTGCGCTCTTTTCAAAAAATTCTCTGATCGTTTCAGCAACATCGCCCTGTTCAAGATGTTCAAGCATTTCATTCCAATCAGTTCCAAAAATCTATAAGTATAACGAAATTTTATGTATTGGTAAATATCAAATTAAGACATTACTTTATTACCCTGGAAAAGAGCTTTACAATCTGTTTAGATTGAAGGTTGTATACTCGTTTTATGACACCAGGAAGAAGAAGTCTAATGAGTAATAAAAGATCACCTTTATAACTTTCTGTAACAAATAAAAATATGTATTTTATTGTCCTAAAAAAAATTGATGATTTAAGCCAGTAAGCAACGAAATTAGTACTTCAAATCAATTTAAATCGTGGTGGTAGTGGCATTTCTAGCTTATTTCAGTAATATGGCAAAACAAATAGAGCTTTTGTGTTATTCACAATGGAAGAGCATTTATAAATTTGAGAAGTATCTAAAAAGCTATGGTTTGTTCGTCACCAAATCCGAAGCGATCCCACTTTACGGATTTTTATAATTTTAATTAGACTAATGCCCAAATCCTCATTGTTAGATGTGCTTGGGCATTGGTATCAATTGGCCCAAGCTTCCAAATCTTTGAAACATTTGGATCCATCTTCTGTTGCCTTTTCACCGTTTTTAAAGTGATTTACGATGGGGCTCTTGAATTTTCAACAAGCTCCTGTCACAACTGTGGCAGTTCTGCAACGTACCAGAGCAAATTTCTGAATTGTTCCATACTGGAAAAGAAAGTGCCTTAGGCTAAGTAAAATATTTAACAAGATTAAATCATTTTTTTAAAAATAATAATTAAATCTTTCTGCTGTTTACTCTATAATTCTATAACTTGTACTAGGTTGTTGAACAATATACTGCAGCATGGAATTTTCTTTATTAACAGCACATTTTCAACAGCATGAATGTCCTCTTCCATGCTAATTACATTTGTATATCCAGTGGACTTCTCAACAATTGTCAAAGATTAATCATATAAATATCTTCTTTATATATATAGTTTTCTGATCATTGCTGCATGTTTTGGTCTATCAGCCTTTTGGCATTCTACCATGCTCAGTAGAAGTCTAATCGAAAACCCAAGAAATCTCACAATACAATTATAACATTCATATTACATTAAAGTAATTGTAAATTAAATGCCAGCTTTTGTGTACTCATTTTTGAATGTAGGTTATGAAATAAATAAACCTGAAACGAAGGACGAAGAAGTCAAAATCGTAATAAATATTCTAAATGAGATTAACCAGAGGGGAAAAAAGTAAGGACAGTAAAACGAATAATCGGGACATCTGCCACCCCTCTTAATCTGATTAATGGACTAAAACCATCTTAAAAAAGGTCCCCCCACTGGACCAATGGCAGATAAGTTCAACCTTTAAATAAATTAACACCATTCACTTTTGTAGTAGTTAATAATTTTTAAAAATAAAAGTATTTCTTTAAGAGAAAGCATACCTCCATCTGTTCCTTTAGTAATGAACTCCTTTACAATGCCTGTTTTGTCGAGATAGCCCGGTACGTTAGAAATATTCGCACATAGTCTTCTAAATTCTCTTAGGCTGTTGTCCTTGTGATTTGGATCGCTTTTATTTTTTGCAGCTTTGTTCTTTTTGTCCTTAGAAGGGGATTTTGATGGCAAACCAGTGGCAGGTGCAGCCAATGGATCTCCTCCATCACTTCTTGTTTTTGCACCTGAAATATATAAAAAAAATCAATGTCAACGTCTTGTCAATAATAAATTCTAAACTAAAAGTTAAACACCAATGTAAAACAATTTGAAACATACTTTCTGGCAATTTTTGCATGATTGCTTTTTTATCTTCAATAGTAAGTGCATCCCAACCACCTATATCATCGACAAATTCGATTTTTGCAGTGGTTGCCCTCTGTTTTGAAAATACCTGAAACAATGGATAGAACATTCTTAAAAAATACACATGAGAATGATGAAAGCATCAAAATTAAGAAGTAGCAATATAATTAAAAAATTACAACTATGGTTAATAAGATTTATTGAAATTATTTAATTTATACCTCAAACATGCAGTCTAAATGATGCCACAGTTTCATGAGACCACTTCCAAAAGGGCTGGGACCAACTTTTGCCAGCCTGAGCGTTTGTGGTTCAATTTTTTGTTTGCATTTCCTACAACCCGCTCTGCCAGTTTTGGCCCTGTCGGCATAAAACTTGTACTCTTTTGTCGACCCATCCGCACTTTCCTCCTGATCAGACATCTGTGAAAAAATGCAATGTTTATCTTGGAAGATAAAATCCAATTCTAATTTTTTTTAAATTGAAATTTTTTAAGTGAGAACAGCACCAACTATTGATCAATGGTCTTTTTTTGGGCGGAGGGGAGGGGCAGACAAGGCAGCTAAGGCTAGCCCAATCTCCAGACATGACCACCACAATTAAGCCCCCTGACACTAAAAACACATTAAAAAAACATGCTTACAAAAAAAGTGTTAGCATTAGTGGGCCAGATCAGTAGAGAAGCTCTCGCATATCAATAGTACTAATTGATACGTGGCCCTTGGATGATCTGACGTGTAAAAGAGTGGTGATCCTCACCTGATTAAGAATAGGCCATGCAAGGAAACTGACAGCATGGTCAGAGAGGTAGGTAGAACAGCATGGTAGAAAGGTGTACCAACTAATTGAAGGGTGCAATTCCTTGGTTCCATATAGAGAGTGTGTAGGAACATGACCCCATATAAAAATTTGACTAGAGCATGACAGCGAGTATCTTGGCCCGCTGTTCCAATTTTTATAAGAAACAGGACTGTTTTACTGCATAATACAGGTAATATAGATACTGTATAATACTTTATAGATATCTTGTCCTGTATTTCTTTGTGTATGTTGAGACTAAATGTATTTATTAGCATGAATGGATAATAAATAGTGTGATTTGTAATTGTGGTGGAATATTGGGTATACCATTGACACTCAATGCAGGGTTGCTGGATTCGAGCCCAGGACCTTTGCCATACAGTAATGAATCTCCTTATCAACATCTTAACCGATGCATTAATTCACAAATTCACAAATCTCTTGAGAGATTGGCTTTAATTATTGCACAAACTGGCGATAGTCTCAGGTTTGTGTTTCTGGCTTCACAAGGCATTTGGATCAAGACGCAATTCAAGGCATTCTGGGTATGCTATTGTTTTGCCAGTTACTGAAAATACATAAGCGGTTGACACATGGACACTTATGTTTAGGTCAAAACCAGCATGTGTCCAGCAGGTAGAAGAAGGTTGACATAATTTAAGGGTGCCATTATTGGCTCTATACAAAGCAGAATAGGAACGCTACCTGAAAACAGAACTGTGTTTGAGCATGCAGCTATCTGGGTCCCTTATTCTGACTTTTAATACTGATAATACTTTACAGACATCTCATCTTGTGTTTCTTTGTGTATGTTGAGACTGAATGTATTTATTAGCATGAATGTGTAGTGTGAGAAGACCGACGGCAGTATATTTAGTACTCCATAATACATGCAGATGGTGATTGAGGAATATCAAGTAGGCTATACAAGAGGCCTGCTGGTCATTTATTGTAAATTACAAAAATCTGGAATTGCCACAGACTGCCAGAAATGATAAGAACATCTCTGTACACATGTGTTGTATGTATAAGCCTGTGCAGAATTGAGCTCATATAAATCAGTAATTTGTAATGCAAAGCTTTATTAAATTCATGTAACACTTATAATCATTTGTGTTTTTAGTGGTCAATTGGCCAAGTTACTTCTTTCAATTAATTATTCTTTTTATGTAAGGTCTTGGTTGGGATAAAAAAGTCAATGTCACGAGTGGGATTCGAACCCACGACCTTCGACTAAATACGCCGCTGCTCTACCACTTGTGACTTCGATCCTCTCGGACACCAACTCCCCATCTCGACCTACAACCGTTCAAATTTTCCCTCTTTTTGCCATTTTTCAAATGTCGTGTAATCAGGACAGTTAAGCTAAGTTAATTCACGTTATTGCAATAATAGCATAACACAACAAATGATAATAACATATGCCTACAGTTTTACAATAAATTTTAACTAAGTCTTGAAAAAAATAAGTCTAAAGGGAAAGGTGCTGAGAACTTTGTTGAATTTTGTATTTATATGCACAAAGATGGTTTTGTATTTTTTTATAAATAAATTCCTGAATAGTAGTTGGTAGAAACAAATCTCTGATCAGTTGGCTGTTGCAAATAACCAGTATTCTCAGTCATTCTTAAAATTAAATTAATATTTTGAAATATAAATGGAATCTAAATGTTTAAAAGAAATTCACTAGTTTTCGTGGTCCGCTTGAGCAATTAATAACATTCAATTAATTAAGGCTTTTAAGTTGAGATAAAAAAGTCAGTGTCACGAGTGGGATTCGAACACATGACCTTCGGCTTGATACGCTGCTACTCTACCACTTGAGCTATCGTGACTTCGATCCCTTCGGGCACTAACTTCCCATCGCAACCCCACCTTTTTGAATTTTCCCTCCTTTTTGCCATTTTTCAAATGTCGTGTAATCGGATTGGATTCTCGGCGACAAATGAGATGGCCACGGAGAGCTTTAGTGAAGTGTACTTCATTTTTACATATTAAATTCACTAATTTTTGTGGTCTGCTTGATCAATTAATAACATTCATTTAATTAAGGTTTTTAAGTTGTTTGACCAATTAATTAAGTAACTTTTTTATCTCAATTTAAAAACCTTAATTAATTGAATGTTATTAATTGTTCAAGCGGACCACTAAAACTCCAATCCGATTACACGACATTTGAAAAATGGCAAAAAGGAGGGAAAATTCAAAAGGTGGGGTTGAGATGGGAAGTTAGTGCCCGAGGGGATCGAAGTCACGATAGCTCAAGTGGTAGAGTAGCGGCGTATCAAGCCGAAGGTCGTGGGTTCGAATCCCGCTCGTGACACTGACTTTTTTATCTCAACTTAAAAACCTTAATTAATTGAGTTTAAAAGAAAACTAATAAATAACGATAAGCCATACCCGATTGTCCACAGACACCTGTTTTTGGGCAAAACCTGTATAGGGGGTCCTGTTTGTAGAGAAAGGTAGTTCAATGTGTCATATTTGATCCAAGGGTTCCTTACAGGGAGCGAGTAAGCATGAACCCTGACATAAAGACAGTACTGGAGCGAGCAGGTCAATTAAATGGTCCCCTGTTATACTTCTTAAAGGAAACGTGGGTTGAAATTTGGAAATAAAATTCCAGGAAAAAATCAAATATAAATTTAATGATCCTTTTTAAGATCTTGTTGTTTTACTAAGCCACTTATTCAACCAACAAGCAACTGATTGTTTATTGTTAGCCTTCTGTCATTTCCTCACATTTAGAATTGTATGGTGTGTCTGTATAAATGTGTGATATTTAAATGTATATGTTTTTATGTGTGTATATGTACACTTCTATTAATTATATGTGCATGTTTGAGTAAAAAATTAAAATTGTGGGTGAGTGATTAATGAGAAGGCCGATGGCGGAATGTCGAGTACCCCTTTGACAATAACCGTGCGAGTGGGGCTGATATGACTTTACTGAGGGTAGCCCGAGGTTGTTAAATAAATAAATAAGACTATTACAACTTAAACTATTTGTTAAAATTAATGCACACGAAAAAATTTTGTTTTGAAACATCTTTTTTACATAAGAAATTGTTTTAAAAGTGTTATTAACTCATGGAATATTTTCAAGAAAAATGCTTTTCTAAGATGGTGGTAACTGGCCTTCGTTGGTTTAAAGTAATTTTGAAAATTAAAATTTCTAGAAAGAATCAAATATAAATTTAACGATCGTCTTAATGAACTTATTTTTTTACTAAGCGGCTTATTAAACCACAAGCAGCTTATTGTTTATTGTTTGCCTTATTGTCGGAAGCACTTTCCTGATATAAACCAATTTATTAACCTAAGTTGAAACCGTTAACGCAGGGGGGGGAATGAAGTGTGATGACGCGGTGGTGTTGTTTTTGCCACGGACTTCGTTCCTGTTGTAACTAAATTCAGAAACATCATTTTCTAGACCGAACAAGTTGAATAGAGTGGCCTAAAAGCCTAAAAAGGAACCTAATGACTCGAAAGCATCATTTATTTCCGTCTAATTGAAAATCCCGTAATAAACAAAACCTCAATCAATCGTTTCGATGCCAGAGGAAAAACCCACACACAAATTCAATAATAACAGAAGAAATTAACTGAAAAATTGCTTATATACTACACCTGAAGATCTGGCAAATATAATTTTTTAACAAGAAAATAAAACCGGCCAATAGATTAATTTTCATTTTAAGCTTCAGCGACGTGTTTTCGTGTTAAATTTCAGTAAGCCCTATTCCGTGTTGAAATCTGTGAAAATGATTTAAATGTGTTAATTCTAATATTTACCATTACAAACGTTTAATAATTTTTCCTAACAAGAGGATGTCCGTGGGATCGCCGATTTAAATGAAAATATTTGGGTGATACTAGGTCAACAAATGCTTGCCGACCGTTCTTGTTAATGGAAGTCTAGGAGCCAAAAAAATAGATGATGTTATTATATAAATCTTTATTCGAATTATGCAATATTATACAGAAAGAAGCAGACATCCATCATGCCGTTTGAAGAAGTATATGTTCTATTGAGACGTAAGTGAAGTCATACCGTTACAAACTCATTCAGTACCTTCCATAAATATATCGATATTTTTAGTTTAAAGGTTTAGATGTACTGCCCACTTTTTTCATTCAAGAATAATCTCAATGATTATTTGGAGATCGTGAGATGCTGTCTGGTGTGACGTAGATTTAAAAAAATCAGTTATTTGTAGATCGTGAGATGCTGTTTGGTGTGACGTAGATTTAAAAAATCAGTTATTTGTAGATCGTGAGATGCGGTCTGGTGTGACGTAGATTTAAAAAATCAGTTATTTGTACAACGTGAGACGCGGTCTGGTGTGACGTAGATTTAAAAAATCAGTTATTTGTACAACGTGAGATACGGTCCGGTGTGACGTAGATTTAAAAAAATCAGTTATTTGTAGATCGTGAGATGCGGTGTGGTGTGACGTAGATTTAAAAAAATCAGTTATTTGTAGACCGTGAGATGCGGTCTGGTGTGACGTAGATTTAAAAAAAAATTAGTTATTTGTAGACCGTGAGATGCGGTCTGGTGTGACGTAGATTTTAAAAAATAGTTATTTGTAGATCGTGAGATGCGGTCTGGTGTGAC